TCGGGGCTAATGGCTGCCTCCGTGTCAGGTTCCGGGGTGGAAGTGCGGAGCGGTGGTTCCCAGCAAACTTCCAAATTTAAGACATTGCCTTGCATTTCTCCCTTCCCTGCTCAGCTCCCCAAAACTGCCGCCTTTTTCCCCAAAATCCTAAGAGGCAGAAGAGGTGCAGGAATCCCATTTCCCCCTCATCTGCCCGTGGTGAATGCCGTAAGCGCAGGCGCTGGATGAGCCCGCTCGGAGCACGCTTACCAGCTGAGACCACGCAGGGCAGACGGGCCGCTTGTGCCGAGACCACAGCGGGCAAAGCGCCACGTACACGAGCGAAGCTCTTACCTCCGTGGCTGTTCTTCGTCTGCTCTAAGAACTCAAAAGCCCCGTAACACAAACCACCCTCCGCGGGATCTCTTCAAAGAGGAAATGTGCAGCTCAGTACAATCCTGCACATGAGTTACGTTCCAGGGATGGGGGGAGGAAGGCAGGGCTCGAAGTTGCAGCCGGGTTTGCTAAAACAGTGGCCGAGTTTTGGCTTCTGCAGACAAGTAGCAGTGGCGTGCCCGAGATGGGGGTGACAACGGCATGGAAATGAGGAGCGCTCCCATCACAGCCGATGATCCAGCCCCCCCAGCCACAAGCACCTCTTCCCCTCGCCCAGGTGCTGCGGGTGCAGACTACCCGCACGTTGCGGTTCAGAGAGGGGCTGGAAACACCGTCACTTGCTCAAAAATTCCTTCGTGCTGAGGTCTCAAAATGCAAAGGGATTTGTGTGGGGGGTAAAAAAAAAAAAGCCACATTAGGCATCACTACCTGCAGGTCCAGATGGTGAGGGTGCCAATAAGGTGCAAGGGACAGAGCACGACAGAGTTAAATGCCAGGGCTCCACATCACCCCAAGCAGCAAAATGTTTTGTACAATTCACCCATCCTTCCCCCAAAGAGCAATGCTCCTGCAGGTTGTCGTCAAGGCAGGGAGAGAGACAGAATTTAACAACTTGATAGGGAAAAAAAATCACTCCGGACACTGGTTTGGTGAGAAAGACGACTGTATTTCTGCTCTGACTGTGGTGTCACATACAAGTTATAGTGTGGTTTAGTACAAGGAGACACTGGGATACACGCAGATGAACCCCACTGTGAATCGCATCATCCCAGCGCGGGACCAAATCTTACACCAAGCGTGCAAACGAAGCATAAACAATGTAAAAATATATTATATATTTACATACACAATCTTTTAAAAAGCCAAGATGCAAGTATAAATTCCAGAGCTAAAACATGTCAGGGAGAAAACGAGGGTTAGATTCAGTGAGCCGTTTGTAGGCAAATTTTAGAGTCACAAAAATAAACTTTAAAAAATTCCAGGGTAAGCTGCTAGGACTCTGGGACACGTGCCCAAGAAAGGAGCCCCTGATGTGCCGCTACGAGATGCCGGTGGCGCGCAGACAGGAGGGCTCTGTAATTTGGTGAGGGACGGGGACAATGTTTTGCTGTAAGGCAGTAGCAGAGCTCCATCGGTCTGACCGGTGTCTGGATGTCTGCGCCCCAAGCACACCACAACCACAAGCGGGTTATCAGAGCCGGGGCTTGCACCGGCCCAGCAAACGCGCGGGCAGTGTTGTGTTGGGGAAACGCAAGACGAGAGATGGCTTACTGAAACGACCCACGCTAAAACCGCCTGCAACTCCACAGCGGGTGCCACGGGCAGAGAAGCGAGATGAGCTATTCCATCCCCTGCCAGGCACGCTGGCAGCCTGACGTCAGCAGTAAGGGAGATTTTAGTATCCAAAAGCCTGAGTATTAATCTCGTAAGTAAGCACATTTCACATTCGCAGCCTTTGTCTGGGTTTAGTGACTCCAGCAGGTCCCCTGGCAAAAGCTGGCTATAACCTCAGTTTACAAGCTGACCCAAAGATGTTCCTCGATCTCGTTAAGTCACCTGAGGATCTTCCCACCCAAGAAACAGGAGAATGCTCTCAACTGCCAAACACTTCCAAAATCCCCTCAACAGCTCAAATGAATTACTGTCCGCTTGAAGCACTCAGCTTCCAAAGCAAACGCAGACCAGCGAAGGTGCTGATGGAGCCTGTGAGCGTGGAGAGGGATTCACTCACAGCTCCGGCAGAGCACGCTGCTCGGACAGGGTAGCAAAGGACAGGCCGATACCCCCAGCAGACAGCCGCACAAAACCAGACTGGGAGTTTTGCGTGGCGGGAGAGAAAACTGGGCTCGCAAGAGAGCACGCAGGACCTTCCCCTCGCACCTCGGTCACAAAGCCCTCAGCAGGTCCCGCCACCCACCCTCTGCCACAGATGCCGAAAAGGCACTTCAGGGCAGGCTCCAGCAGCTCCCAGAGAAGCGGCAGGACAGCTCTGTCCGGGAGACTCCTTCAGCCACCTGCCTTGCTCCTCTTCCATGGGTCTGCGAGGGAAGGGGGCTTCTCCTGCCTCTCCTCTCACCCACCTGTAGCGTTACTCATGGAATTTCCAGTTTGTAGCAGCCAGCACCATCTGCCCGACACGGCAAAACACCAGCCTGGACTCTGCCGGAGCAGCAGCCCAAAGCCTTCAGCTGGGCTGAAGTACAGTTAACAAGCACAGATGTAAGCGCTTGAAGGTTTCAAGCTTCTCAGGGTAGCTGCTGGCAGGGAGCAAAACCACAGGGATTAAAGAGGTCACTAAATCCACTCAGGTTTTAGGCTCGTCAGAGCAGTGCCACGCATGGAAATGCGGAGGGAAGGCTGCCCTGCCATCAGGCAAAAGACGCCGGGCAAGCCCAGCTGTTCCCAGCCCACGAGTGTAAACCTGTCACCCCTGAACTCACCACGCGAGAGCCCAGCAGCTCATCCACGCTTGCATTATTCCGGTGGCACTCGTTAGAGAGGCTTGCTGGAAGCTGACTCTGGCTACCTTTTCTTATTTCTGAGTACCATGTCTCCTCCCCTCTTTCATCCTGCTGACTGTTACAGGGAAGCTAAGCAAAGGAAAGAGTTCTGCCTACAACAAGATTTTTTTTTTTTTTTTTTTTTTTTAAGAATCACCATACTCATGTTTCTCCAGTAGTTCAGGTAGGTACGCCTTTGCCCAGCACATCTTTCACCCAAACACCTGATTCTACGTGCTACAAACCTAAGCGTTAAATATGGTATTAAGTTCCTTTTTAAAATGATCCTGGATAGCAGCCAGAATCAGCATTCCCCGCCTCTGACAGAGCCTTGAGATGACCAGTGCTCCTCTGCTGCTGGCCCATCCCTCGGGGCTCATCCAGACCACAGGAGAGAGCTGACTTTGTGTACAATGTGTAAAAAGAAAATACTGGAAGATGCGGGGTACTGGCTGGAAGGTACACAGGGACCTCTGCCACAAAGAAAGGCTCGTCTCTTCCTTTCTCTTTGAGGAGCAGAGCAGTGCAAAAGGAGCTGACTTTCACACAGCAGGGTTCTTTGCTACACACATCTGGGGCACCCACCTGAAGCAAGCTGGTGATGCACGCACGAGGACAAGGTGTCGGGGTGCTGCATCCATGAGGTATGAACCTACAGCTCCTGGAGGGGCCAGGACTTCCTCCCCGCTTGAAAGCTCCCCTGGACTTCGGGGCAACGCAAAGGGTGGCCCTAGGCCTGCTGTGTGTAAGCACATGGAGTCTTTCACCTCACTACCAGACACACGGACTCCCAGGGAAGTTACAGAAGGACTAGATTGACATCGTTAGCCAAACGTTAAATGGTTGAGTAAAAGCAATTAGGAAAAACCCCTACTGCAGACAGACAAACCAAGCAGCACTGGGTGGGTTCCTTCTCCGCCTCTCGTATGTCTCTTGCATGTGCCATGTCTTTGGGGGGCGATTCAAACATCCAGCACCTTCAGACAGGATCGAAGTCCGAGCGTTAGAAGTCACTGAGGATACTGATGTCTGCAAACTCATTCCTGTACCGGTAAGCGTACAAACTGAGCAGGAAGGCCCATTTCAAGGAGATGAAACTCCAGACGCACGACAGGTAGTAGCTTCTGGGATCAGTCAGGGCTAGGAGAGAAAAGGATACGGATGCATTTCAAAATCCCATTTATCCCTCATGCAGTCTGGCCAGGAAGAACGCAGCTCAGCCCCCCAGTTCCTGGGAGCTTTTCAGCCTACATCTAAAGATCTTGTTCTGCAAGCAAGGCTTAATCAGTGCCTTATTCCCAGCTCTCTTGACTCATTGTAAAATTTGCTCATCTCTGCCACAGGAGAGTATTCTGGTGACAGTCTGAAGAAGGTCATTATCACCTTGAGAGGTGTAAGGTCACCCACTCAGCCACCCCAAACTCTCCTTGCTTAGGGCCCAAAGGATGGGGTTTGTGTGAACTCCTGGATGGCAGAAACATGTGGCTCAAGAAAACAACCTCACCCTGCTGTTCTTCATTTCTCTCACCCTGCCTTACTGCTACTCCCTTCTCTCCCACCATGGCAGGGAGAGAGGAAATCTGCACATCTCAGGGGGGAAAACAGGAAATAAAATATATCTGCCTTCTAAAAATGCTTTTACCAATCGTCGCGACCAACATTTAATATCTAACACTGGTGCACTTCAACCTGTACTGCAGGTCTTCAGTACAGTGCTGTGATAATCACACATCAGTGAACGACATGGAGAGCCTCTTTTTAGAGAACCTTTGCAAATGAACACATTTCTTCTTTATCTATTCTAAAACTGCCTCTATTTAGGGACTGCTTTGAAGTCAAGTGGGTATGGTTCTGCTTTTTGAATGCATGTCAGCAGTCTCCATATTTATTTTCAACATTTGGGTTTTTTTTGTTCCAGAGATGTCAACAATTTTGAAATACACTTAACCTAATGCCTAAAACAATTCCACCTCTACGTACAAGCTGCTTGGTCATTACTGAAAAATAAAGATAGATAATTTTTTTGAAGAATAGACAAAACAGTACTTACTCAGTAAACCCCACTCATTAAATGTACCAGTCTTAAGCTTCCCATACATAAATAACCTATGCAGATGTTCTACTTTGCCCCAAAATTAAGGCTCTCCCTAAAATACCTCCATTTCCCTAAAAACCCCCAAATTTTCCCCAAAACAGTTTTTCCTCATGTCTCCGAGAAAGGAGGTGATGAAAAATATTTGGTTTTCTTTTTACATCTGTATTTCTAACGATTGCATACGAGTATTTTCATACCCTTCCACTACGCTGAAGCACTCGAATCCCCATGGGGAGCGTACTTAGGCTAGGCCAAGGGCTTTTGGTGGGTTACGACCCCAACGCAGCTTGCCCACCGTCACAAGTACAACAACAACAGGACTCTTAGTGGCTATCAGCCCAAATGCAGCAAGCAACAAACAAAGACAACTTCTAAATAAACAAAACCCAAACTTTTTCTCTTTGGTCTACTGCCAAGCAAATACTGGGAGTAATTACGTGAATGCTCCTTCGACAATGTTAAATATTTTATAGCAACACAGCTTTATATGCTGACTAAGTGTAGAAGGCATTTTCTCCCTGCTGGCTCATGTTTGGATTTCAATATCCTCACCCACCTGCTTTATGAGTGCTGAAGAGACAACATTTAAGAGCACTCCCTTTATTTGTCATAGAAATAAATAAATTCCAGTTCCTATAGGAAACAATACTGGAAAATGTGGACTGCCTGCCAGCAGTCATAGAATCATAGAATCGTTGAGGTTGGAAAAGACCTTTAGGATCATCCAGTCCAACCATTAACCTACACTACCAAGTCTACTCTAAGCCAATCAAGGGTAGACCAGACTGAACCATGTCCCAAAGTGCCACCTCTGCCCGTTTTTGAACACTTCCAGGGATGGGGACTCCACCACCTCTCTGGGCAGCCTGTTCCAATGCTTGACCACCCTTTCTGTAAAGAAATTTTTCCTAATTTCCAACCTAAACCTCCCCTGGTGCAGCTTAAGCCCATTTCCTCTCATCCTATCGCTAACTACATGGGAGAAGAGACCAACCCCCACCTCACTACACCCTCCTTTCAGGTAGTTGTAGAGAGCGATCAGGTCTCCCCTCAGCCTCCTCTTCTCCAGACTAAATACCCCAGTTCCCTCAGCCACTCCTCATAAGACCAGGCCTATCAAGGCAGCTATCAAGTGTTAGAAGATGCCCTAAGAGAGCAGCACTCATCGGCAGCAGCATTACTCTTGTGTCATCGAGACATCGCAGCAGCAAAATGAAATGCAATGGCATTCTCGCAGCCCCTCCCCAAAGGTCTCTCAACACCTCTGGGAAGAGGTGGCCGAGCACCCCCAGATTCACACCCCGGCTCTGCTTTGCAGGCCCTCCTGTTCCTTCAAATCCCGCCCCAGTAATCCCAGCATCGCTAGTCATTTCGCCCAGTTGCCTGCTGCAACAAGGTACTTACACTGGTGCTTGGTGATGGCCAGAACGAGGAATGTGCAGAATCCCACCACTGAGAGAGCTGAGAAGAGGATCCCGATGAAGAGGAAGAACCTCAGCCCTTTTAACCAGGTCCTCCAGTAATCCTGCACATACATCACATGCGTGATTAGGGCCCAGAGCGCCAGAACACCTGCTCGATTAGACAGCAAGGGGAATCAGTACCATGCATCACACTGCAACAAGAAAGGTGTCTAACAAATACACAGCTCATCAAAAACCCCATCCGAAACACCAAGGAGCGCTGATGCTTCGCAGCCGCGTGCCCCGCAAAGCGAGGGGACATATCAGAACCAAGGCCAGCCTGCACAAGCACCGCTCCCCAGGACCACCCCAGACCCCCTGCTTTTGCACAGGCTCTGCGAGACAGCTCCTGATCGCAGGCTGGCACAGGAAGGACTTCACTGAACGGATTCCCCCGGGTAACTCGTTCATTCTCCTCGTTCGGACAGACCCCTTGAATGCACACTCAGTGCAGTTTTATTTAATTCTCCATACAGCTTTCAGGACATTGCACGCAGCAAGCCGAGCGCTTGGCAAGGATTAGCGCACCTCTTCGCAAAGGCCAGGCAGCCCCTTTTACATACGGGGACGATGATGAAGAGCACCGCTGCGTAACCACTGAGTTTAGACACCTAAATCGAGATATGCAGGACCTGTTCAGTTCTCGGCGTTTCACGTCATGTCTTTTAGCTCCAACGTATCTCCAGTTAACTTCATAAAGAGTCCATTCATACAAATCCCCTCCAAACACGTCAAATGTTTCAAGTAAAGGGGTGTAGAAATTCAGCTCCCAGATGATTCCTACATACAATTCCCACTTACGGCAGAGCACGCTCGCTAAGTGTTTAAGGTGAACTAAATCTAACTCCGTACTTTTGGGTCTGGCCCAAAACGTCTGGATGACAGAACTAGACAAACATCTGAGCACGTACAGATTATTTTTTTGTTTTGTTTTTTTAAGAACAGCCAAATTCACTATGGCTTTGATAGGAACAGCAAAAGGCATTTTCCTAAGCTTAGGCGACTAGTCCATAACCAAGTCTCAACTCCCTTGTCAAAAGGGAGGGAACAGGAGGAAAAAAGGGATGAAAGCATCCAAATAACAGCTGTAAACAGTTTCTGATATAGGGAAAAATAACACATCCTTCCCTAATCTTGTTCTAAAAACTGCCACCTTTTCACCACACTTCAGAAAAAAAAATTAGGAGAGACACTCGATCCAAGAACTGTCCGTTCACATGCTTAAAGCCTGTCAAAGTTTTTATAACCTGCCGGAACAAGGCTGCCTGTCATTCCCCATTATACAATCCCAGCTACAAGCAACATCACCAACTCCAATTATAGCAAGCCGCTCCTCTGTTTAAGTCGCAGCGCTGAAGAGTATGACTAAACCTCCTTAAGCCGCTAACTCAACCTATAGTTAGCACCACTTTACAGACTTAAAACATTTGACTCATTTTGGCAGAGACCTCTGCGGCACTTCTGAAATGTGAACCTCCAGTTGTGCAACTAACTGGCTTGTATTTCTCCTTCACTGCCACCTCCTTTCCAGATTTTGTTTTAAGGGCAGCATGGGAAAAAAAAATAATTAACCAAAAAAAAAAAAAATTACACCACTGCCAGAATGCCAGGCTGCTTTATATGGTATCCTGCAATAACGCAGACCTCCCTCTGCGGCTACTTCTCAACATCAAAGGAAGGGAAAACCAGCCTTGCCCACTACAAGATAAACACTTTAATACTAAGGACAGTCACAGGTCCTGCCAGAGCTCATTTGTTGCTGGATACGGTCATTATACACAAAGCTTCCCAAGACTTAAAAGAACGTATTATAGCACAGGGAAAACAACTGCGTCCAAACCGATAGGTGAGCACGGCCGAGAGTCGCCTACAGACCCGCTGGACTTGCTTTTCAGCTCCCAAGCAGCTCCCAGCTCATTTCTAGCAGGTCTTCTGACCTCGCCGGACACACGGACAACGGATGCACTGCAGGTGCATGTCAAATGAAGCTGAGTATACACCAAGCCAGTTCCAGGATAGACGGGAGGACCCTGGCAATGCTTTTTGCCTCATCAGCGTCTTGGGATGGGACAAAAAGTCCTCCACGGTGGCCCACAAAAGAGGTGGGTGGAAAAAGGACAACCTTCAAAAGGAAAACGCCATAAAAGCAAAAGCACTCGGGGTGAACTAAAAACCCAAGGGTAAAGTGCTGATATCCAGGCCAGATGGAGCTCACAGACGACTTATCACAGCGAACAGGAAAGGCAGAATCAGCCCGTTACTTCATCCGGTCGGCCCCGCTGCACCTAAGCGGTATCTAAGCAGGTTTTCCGGCTCTGGGCAGTCACGATTTTAATTCCGAGACTCTCGTCAAGTCTGCTACAGCTACTGCTTTTCCATGACTGATTCCACGATGGCTACCACTATGCACGCGTGCTAGAGATCACAAAGCTTGCAGAAGGTATTTTGGAGTTCTGCAAATGCAGAAGACCGAAACTGCCTTGGCAATGCTTTTCAAACAGCCTGCCACGGGATTTGGTGGAAAAGCCTACCACTCTGCTTGCTAAATCACCACTTCCTCCACTTCGTATTACCTTTAAGCTTGTGCTCTAGCAAGTTCAACACACTTTTTTTTTTTTTTTTTAAAAAAAAAAAAGGGGGAAACTCAGTTTTTTCAGTCAGCAAAACAAGCTGCTTCCCCCCCAGGCGCTTTCAGATGACTCGGCACAATTTATTCGAACTGCTGAGTCAAGCTGCTGGTGTTTCCACGCCAAAACTGCTGCTGATGCTCTGAAAGGTCTCTGCGGGCAGAGCAGAGGCAGCGCGTGAGCCGTCACTTGATCTTCCCCCCGCTGCCGGGCCTGACCACGCGCCTTCCCCCGACCCTAAAGCCTGACGCAGCACTGGAAAGGAAGCTATTCGGCAATTCATTCTTAAGATCTAGGGTAACTGCCTCATACGTGACTAAGCAAAAAAAGCCTCACGACAACTTCGCCAGGCGCCGAAGGATCGAGTTTGGTCACACGGTCATTAAACAGAGGGTAACCTTTTACAGGCAGCTCAGCCAACATCACGTTTGTTACCACGCAAAACAGAGGGGAAGGAGTCTCCTCCAGCTCCAGCCACACGTTTGCCTCCTTTCCCTTACACCCCGACAGCACTCGGATCCTTTGGTGAGGCTATCCAGCTTGCACAGCAGGTGATTTTCCTTTTTCCTTTTTTTCTTCCCCCCCCTAAAATGGCAGAAAAGAATTCCAACAAGTTAAATCAGCTCACAACACTGTCTGAAAAACATCAACGCTGGCATAAAAAACATTGGCAGTACACACTCAGGGACAGGTAGGAGACATGAGAACGGGACTTGCTTTTTCAGTTGCTTAATTTGCTCATCAGCTTGCGTGATCACGCTCGGGTGGGCACCCGAACCCCACCAGCGCTGCTCAAAACTAGGGAAGAGCCACAAAAGAAAGCAAAACCACCACCCAGATGTTGACAAAGGCATGCGAATGGAAGGGGCATCCCAAGCGGGACGAAGGTACCTTAACAGCAGGGCACGGCAAATCAAGCTCAGAGCCTGAATACACGAGGAAAACATTAATTGCAGGGAATCCAATTTAAGCAGAGTCTATTGCTAAATAGAGTTATCACTAACCAAACGCTTAAATACGTGAAAACGTGTACCTTTGCTAAAAAACCTTCTTTAAGCTAACTGCTTATCAACATATGACATTCAGCAGGGAAAAAACCCACTATTTGTAGCTAACTCCAGAGGAAAAGTGTCCATGAATGCTGGAACGGAGCATGTGATTCGTGTTTAATTCGACTGAAATGGGGTTCAGGAAAAGAAAAATCACCTCCTATTCACCAATATACCTAAGCTAAGCGGTGAGAAGAACCAATTAGTTGTACCAATTTACAGAAAAGACTTTCATTATCACACAGGGAAACTAAAACCATACTGGTATTTTTAATTAATGTGAAATCTCTCGCTTTGTAGACCTTGCGAGCAAAAGGTTTGCAGGTTTAACACAAACCCATTAGCTCTATGCAGGTAATAGCACAGCTAGCTCGCTCAGCTGTACAACTGAAACAGGTTTTACTGGAATAGGAAATAAAAATTATGTCTCATTTAAAGTCTGGAATGATTAACTGCAGGACCTCCAGTTTTTCACCGCACGCGATTCCCCCAAATCCCCTCCTTCTCCGCAGCCGCAGTCGTATTCTCCAGGGGAATCGCACTTCGCACAGAAGCAAAACCTGAACCTGCAGACGTAGCCCCGGAGTAGCAATGGTGGTTGTCGGCTCCGGTTACGTTGCCCGCTTAAAATAACATCAAAAAATCTTGCACCCATTTCAGAGAAACATTTGTCTTGGTGGATTTACCTCACACACCATGGTCGGAATGACCCGAAAATAAGAGCCGCTCAGTAAGGACAATCAAGGGATTTCCGATGTAGAGCAAAGGGAAAGTTACCTCTAAATGAAAAACTAATTATCCCAAGTACACAAAGCTCCAGGAAAAGGAAACTGCCGATCAAACAACCGCGAGTGCATCTGAAACAACAGTGACAGAGGCAGGCTTTTTAAACAGAAGTTAACAGGTATTTTGACAAGACAAATTCGTATTTAAAATACAAAAACTTACAGCATACTTGGAACGAGTTTAAATAAATTCTAAAAGGCAACTTCAAAAGCAGGCTCACCCTCAGTCTGTAACCTGGTACAGAAAAACACTAATATCTAAATATTTTGATAAGCCCTTTCAAAAGCTTGGCATACTTGAGCTCAAGTGAAACAAAACTTTCCCTTTCTCCAAACACAAAACCAAAAACTGTGACAAACAAAAGGTTTTCTCAGCCCCCTGCTCATCACTGACCAGTGCTTCGGTCCCAGCAAAACAAGCTGCATTGTTGATGGGGAATAACAGCGCAGCTGCCTTCCCCGAGGGCAGCGCAGCCGGAGGCCAAACGTGTCAGGCCACGTTTGCACGCCGCGGCAGGACACCATGTACAACGCTAATGGGCGTTACAGATTCTAGGAAAAAACAACAAATGTGCAACGGAGGCCAAAAAACCGAGCAAACACATAAGACACAGCAGCTCTTCCGCAATCAGCATTCTTATTCCAGCC